AGAACTGGTGCCTTCAAATTATGGTGCTGGCGAAGAATACTGAAAATGCCATGGACCGCCAGAAGAATGAACAAACTTCTCTTGAAAGAAGTACAGCCAGAATGCTTCTTAGAAGGGAGGATGGCGAGACTTTGTCTCATATACTTTGGACATGTTATTAGGAGGGACCAGTCCCTGCAGAAGGACATCATGCTTGGTAAAGCAGAGGGTCAGCAAAAAAGAGGAAGACCTTTGTCTTAGTTATCAAGTGCTGCTATAACAGACATACCACAAGTGATGGCTTTAACAAACAGAAATTCAGTCTCTCACAGTCTAGGAGACTGGAAGTCTGAATTCAGGGCGCCAGCTCCAGGGGAAGGCTTTCTCTTTCTGTTGGTTCTGGGGGAAGGTCCTTGTTATCAATTTTCCCCTGGTCTAGGAGCTTCTTAGCACAGGGACCCCAGGTCCAAAGGACGTGTTCCACTCCTGGTGCCTCTTTCTTGGTAGCATGAGGTCCCCATCTCTCTGCTCACTTCTCTCTCCTTTTACCTCTTATAAAATAAAAGGTGATACAGGCCACACCCCCGAGTTCCTCCCCTTAAATCTGATCAGAGATGTAACTTGAGTAAGAGTGTTGCATCCCACCCTAATCCTCTTTAACATAACCTGTTCTTGCCTCATTAACCACTGGCAGAGAATAGGATTTACAACACATAGAAAAATTACATCAAATCACAAAATGGAGGACAACCACACAATACTGGGAATCATGGCCTAGCTGAGTTGACACGTATTTGGGGGGGACACAATTCAATCCATGACAACTCCCAAATAGATGGATGGACACAGGGGCTGCAAAAATAGGCTCAAACATAGCAACGACAGCGAGGATAGCACAGACCATGTAGTGTTTTGTTCTGTCGTACATAGGGTTATTAGGAGTCCAAACCGACTCAATGACGCCTAACAACAGGTTCATGAGTGTTATTGGTATTATTCTTCTTGGATGACTGTGCCTGGTTTTGGTATCAGGGTGACATTTCTTAAAATATAAGTTGGGAAATGGTCCCTCCTCCTCTATTTTCTGATAGCGTGTGGTAGAATTGGTATCATTTCTTCCTTAAATGTTTGATAGAATTCACCAGCAAAGCCTTTTGGGTCTGGAGTTTTCTTTGTGAGGTTTTTAATTTCATGTTTAACTTCCTTAGAAGATATATTTTCTCTTTCTTCCTAAGTTTTGTTAGTTTCTGTGTTTCAAGAAATTTACCCATTTCATATAAGTTGTTGAATTTATTGGCTTTTTTCTTCTTTTTTATTGTGTTTTAGAAGGTTTATAGAGCAAATTAGTTTCTCATTAAACAATTAATACACATAGTTTTGTGACATTGGTTGCCAACCCCACGACATGTCAACACTCTCCCCTTCTTGACCTTGGGTTCCCCATTATCAGCTTTCCTATCCCCTCCTGCCTTCTCATCCTTGCTCCTGAGCTGGTGTACCCATTAAGTCTGATTTTGTTTTATGGGCCTGTCTAATCCTTGGCTGAAGGGTGAAACTCAGGAGTGACTTCAGTACTGAGTTAAAAGGGTATCTGGGGGCCATACTCTCAGGGTTTCTCCAGTCTCTGTCAGACCAGTAAGTCTGGTCTTTTTCTGTGAGTTAGAATTTTGTTCTACATTTTTCCCCAGCTCTGTCTGGGACCTTCTATTGTGATCCATGTCAGTAGTGGTAGCTGGGTACCATCTAGTTCTGCTGAGCTCAGTCTGGTGGAGGCTGTGGAAGTTGTGGTCCATTAGTCCTTTGGACTAATCTCTCCCTTGTGTCTTTGGTTTTCTTCATTCTCCCTTGCTCCAGATGGGGTGCAACCAGTGGAATATCTTAGATGGTGTCTCAGTCATCTAGTGCTCTAACTGAGATACCACGAGTGGATGGATTTAGCAAACAGAAGTTTTTTCTCTCACAGTACAGTAGGCTACAAGTCCAAATTCAGGGCATCAGCTCCAGGGGAATGCTTTCTCCATTGGCTCTGGAGGAAAGTCCATGTCATCAGTCTTCCTTTGGTCTACGAGCTTCTCTGCGCAGGAACCTTAGGTCCAAAGGGCACGCTCTGCTCCCGGCACTACTTTCTTGGTGGTATGAGGTTCCCATGTATCTCTGCTCCCTTCTCTCTTTTATATCTCAGAAGAGATTGCATTAAGACACTAATCTTGTCAACCTCATCAGTATAAACTCATCACAGTGATAGAATTTACAACACATGGGGAGATCACATATAATCTCATCATAGTGGTACAGTTTACAACACATAAGGAAATCACATCAGATAACACAATCATACAATACTGGGAATCATGACCCAGCCACGTTGCTACACACATTTTTTGGGGGACACAATTCAATCCATGACAGATGGCCACTCACAATCTTTTAAGACCTGTGATGGTTAAGATTGTGTGTCAACTCGGCTGGGCCATGATTCTCCATGTTTTAATGTAATCACTCCCATGATTGAATATACTGTGAGTAGCCAATCAGATGAAAGGGAGTCTCCTTGGGGGTGTGGCCCACATCTGTATATAAGCAGACGTTCTGGTTTTCTGCTCTCGCTGGATCCTGCAGCTGCTTCCTGTCATCTGATCTCCCGTTCTTGGGACTTGAGCTATCAGCTTATCTGCCGAACCTGGGATTCGTCGATCTGCACAGCCTATGAGTGGGAGCCCTGCTCTCCGACCTTCCGATCTTGGGCTTGCCAGCTTCTGCAGCTGTGTGACTTGGGAGAGGCCTCTACCCTGATCCACGGACTTGGGACATTCTAGCCTCTACAATCACGTGAGCTGTTTCCTTGATATAATCTCTCTCTCTATATATATTTATACACTTTACTGGTTTTGCTTCTCTAGAGAACCCAGCCTAAGACAAGACCCTAGCCACCACTCCCCAAAGTAGGATGTAGAACATTTGCTTTATAAACTATGTTAGACCAACTGAGCTAGATGTCCCCTGAGACCATGGTCCCCAGCCCTCAGCCTAGCAATTTGGTCCCTCAGGGATTTTGGATGTGTCTATGAGGGTTCCATGACCTTGCTTTGGTCAAGTTGTGCTGACTTCTCCAGTATCGTGCACTGTCTTACCCTTCACCAAAGATATCACTTATCTATTGTCTATTTAGTGTTTTTTCACCTCCATTCCTCCCTTCCGTCATAACCATCAAAGATTGTTCCTTTCTGTGTGTAAACCTTTTCATGAGTTTTTATAATAGTGGTCTCATACAGTATTTGTCCTTTTGTGATTATTTCACTCAGCATAATGCCCTCCAGATTCATCCATGTTGTGAGATGTTTCACAGATTCATGATTGTTCTTTATCGTTACGTAGTATTCCATCGTGTGTACAATAGTTTATCCATTCATCTGTAGATGGGCACTTAGGTTGCTACCATCTTTTTCGCTATTGTGAATAACGCTGCAATGAACATGGATGTGCATATGTCTATTTGTGTGACAGCTCTTATTTCTCTAGGATATATTCCTAGGAGTGCGATAGCTGGATGGTATGGTATTTCTATTTCTACCTTTTTAAGGAAGCACCATATTGTTTTCCAAAATGGTTGCACCATTTTTCATTCCCATCAGCAGTGCATAAGAGTTCCAATCTCCCTGCAGCCTCTCCAACATTTTTTATTTTCTATTTTTTTGATTCGTGCCAGTAATGCTGAGGTGAGATGGTATCTCTTTGCAGTGAATTTATTGGCATTTTGTTCCTAATTTCTCCTCATTATCATTTTAATGGCTGTAAGATTTGCAGTTGTGTCCCCTCTTTCACTCTTAATTTTGGTAGTATGTGTTGTCTTTTTTTAAGATCAGATTTATCAATTTGATTGATCTTTTCAAAGAATTAGCTATTGGTCTCATTGATTCTATTTTTGTCTGTTTTCAAATTCTACTCTGATCTTTATCATTTCTTTCCTTCTACTTTAGGTTTAATTTGTTCTTTTTATAGCTTCCTAACACAGACGCTTATATCATTTGATTTTAGATCTTTTCTGTTTTGTAATATAAGCATTTAAAGCTGTAAGTTTCCCTCTATGCATTGATTTAGCTCATCTCACAAATTTTTATTTGTTGTGTTTTCATTATCATCCTGTTCAAATGACTGTAATTTCCTTTTTGATTTCTTCTTTGACCTATGGGTTATTTAGAAGTGTATTATTTGATTTCCAAATATTTAAGGTTTTCCTATATATCCAGTGTAAGCCGTCAAATGTTTAAAAACTGGCTCTTCTAGGATGTGTGTGCAGCCTGGTTTGTAGTGTTTGCTGATTTCCATGGTGTTAACTCCTTAAATATAGTCAATTTGGATATGCATATATTCATTATCTTGATTGTGGGGATGCTTTCATGGGTGTGTACATATGCCAAAAGTTAATAAATTGTGTATGTTAAATATGTGCAGTTTATTGAATGTCAGTTATACTCAGTAAAGCTGTTAAAAATGTATGTACTCAAAATAACAATGCACGTACGCAAGAAACAAAACAAATAAAAACAAATATACGTTAAAATACATTACAATGATTAATTTCCTAAAGTGGAGGAAAGGAGAGTAGCATTGAAGTACAGGGGAAAAAAGGAAGCTCATAAACAGATAAATAAATTTAAGTTCACAAGAGTAGGACCTCACATGGTGGAAAGGAGAGTGAGGGGAGAAAGAAATGTAGTGTGCTGGAATGATACCCCTTTTCAGGGGTAAATATATTTCAATAAGGACTTACGGAGACAGAATATTTTGTAAGATTAAAAAAACTGATCTTAATAGTAGAAGAAGCTTCAGGCCTCCAGCCATATGAATGAGGAAATATTTAGAAGTAAGGAGTCTTTCCTGGTATCCCTGAAACAACTCAAAACTCCACCTACTCATTCATTTAACAAATATTTACTGAATGCCTAGTATACGCCAGCTCCTATTCATAAGCCCAGTAATATTGCCAACAGCCATTCATCATCTCCATTCCCTGGCCCTACCTGCTGGGGGTTCCACCTTGATTGCTATCGCAGAAGAACCATTAGTCATTCCCAAAGGGTCTAAACTGGATTCCATCTTCCTGCCTTCTTCAAGGTACTCTAGAGTACCAGTGCTTTTCTGCTTCGTTATTCGAGTCTGAAGCTGTTTGAAGGCTTCATGAAATGCCATTTCCATTCGAATATCATTGTTTTGAATTTCATAGTACAAACCTGAAAAAAGTAAGATGCTGAAATAAATGTGACTAATTTTCCACCATCACATACTGAAGAATTACAACACTTCCTTATTCTTCCCACATTTTTACCAAAGTTCAAGAACTACGTGATGAGCCACTAAAGAACAGAAAAAGAAAGAGAATCTTATAAAGGAAGAAAATACATTCAGATCACAGGAAAATACCATACCAAGTAAAGTCCAGGCCACAACGTTGGTTGGTTCCAAGCAAGTGGCATCCTCAAAGAAAATTTCTGCCTGCTCATAGTTCTCCATCAGGACAGCCAGGACACCACAGAGCAGCAAGCTGAGAAGAGACCACAAAGGGTAACAACATTGTTCCATGTCAGTCAGAGAACCAAGACAATTTCATGTAGAAGCATCTGCTCCCACTCATTCCTCATCTCCTTTCCACCCATACCTGCGGATATGATTCTGGTTCAGGGAGAGGGCTTTCCGAAAACACTCCTGTGCTTTGATGTTGTCCTCAGTTAGGAGGCAGAAGGCACCATAGTCCAACCAGTGCTCCAAGTTCTGGGGCTCACGGACCAACCTCTAGGCATAGGAAGCATCAGGAAAGCTAAGGTTATCATAATACTATGTCATATTTTTTATGTACATAACATCATACAGTAAGCACTCCATAAATATTGTAAGCTTTTGAATGCAGAGACCAGGACTTCTGTTTTGCTTACCACTGAATCCCAAATGCCTAGCATAGTCAGTATTCTGGCTTATAGTAGATGGTCAATAAATATTTGTTGAATTAATTTGAAAATTGAATCCTCAAGATATTTCTTCCTTGTGTCAGTCTTCTGACTGCCCTAAGCTCATCTAATACCTTAGGAGTCTACAGATTCATTTCATGGTATATAAATCATATACCATAATCTTGAAATGGCAAATATAAGGTTATCTACAAATCTATTTTTTTAAAGTGCCTCCTAATGAATGAAATAATCCTTCACATTTGCTATACATAGAATCAAAGAATTTATTTAAATGAAATGTGATTGTGGTAAGAGATACACACACACATCCACCCGTGACAATTTTTAAGTGCACACTTCAGTGACATTAATTACATTCACTATGTTGTGCAACCATCACCACTATCCATTTCCAAATGTTTTTCATCACCCTAATCAGAAACTCTGTATCTCTTAAGCAGTAACTCCCCATTTTCCCTTTGCCCCAGCCCTTGGTAACCATTAATAAACTTCTGCCTCTACGATTTGCCTATTCTAGATATTTTATATGTAAGATCATACAATGTTTTTCATTTTAAGCCTGACTAATTTCACTGAACCTAATGTTTTCAAGGTTCATCCATGTAATAGCACATATCAGAACTTCCTTTCTCTTTGTGGCTGAATAATATTCCATGAGTATGGATATACTACATTTTGTTTATCCATTCATCTGTTGATGTACACTTGGGTTGTTTCCATCTTTTGGTTATTGTGAATAATGCTTCAATGAGTAAGGATTTTTAAAAAGACCAAGGCAATAGCAATTTATTTATACAGACTGATGCTGTGAACTGGCTGTATTCTAAATGCTCCTCTGTCAATTAATTTAGAATTTGGAGCATTTTTCCTCTTGAAAAAATTATAAATGTGGAAATATACTCAACATCATTAGTCATTAAGGAACTACAAATCAAAACCACAATGATGTTCACACCCACTAGAATGGCTATAATCAAAAAGACAATAACAAGTGTTGGAGAGGATATGAAGAAACTGGCTACAAAACACTACTGTAAGAAGCCAAAAGAGACCTACATAAGTGGAAAAACATACCATGCTCATGGTTAGGAAGACTCAACATTGTAAAAATGTCCATTCTACCCAAAGCAATCTACAAATACAATGCAATTCCGATCCAAATACCAACAGCATTCTTTAATGAGATGGAAAAACTAATCATTAACTTTATCTGGAAAGGAAAGAGGCCCCGGATAAGTAAAGCATTATTGAAGAAGAGCAAAGTAGGAGGCCTCACACTACCTAACCTCAGAACCTACTATATAGCCACGGCAGTCAAAATAGCCTGGTACTGGTACAATGACAGACACATCCATCAATGGAACAGAATCCAGAACCCAGATGTAAATCTATTCACCTACAGCCACCTGATCTTTGATAAAGGCTCTAAGTCCATTAAATGCAGGAAAAGACAATCTTTTTAACAAATGGTGCTGGCAAAACTGGACGTCCATCTGTAAAAAAATGAAACAGGACCCCTACCTCACACCATACACAAAATCCAATTAAAATGGATCAAAGACCTATACAAAAAACCCAAAACTATAAAGATCAGGAAGAAAAAACAGAGTCAATGCTAGGGGCCCTAACATATGGCATAAATAGGATACAAATCATAACTAACAATATACAAACTGTCATGGATTGAATTGTGTCCCCCCAAAATATCTGTCAACTTGGCTGGGTCATGATTCTCAATACTATATGAATGTGTAATCTGATGTGATTTCCTTATGTGTTGTAAACTCTATCACTATGATGAGGTTATATGTGATCTCCTTATGTGTTGTAAATTCTATCACTGTGATGAGGTTATACTGATGAGGTTTACAAGATTAGATAATGTCTTAATCCAATCTCTTCTGAGATATAAAAGACAGAAGCTAGTAGAGACACATGGGAACCTCATACCACCAAGAAAGTGGGGCTGGGAGCAGAGCGCATCCTTTGGACCGGAGGTTCCTGTGCAGAGAAGCTCCCAGACAAAAGGAAGACCAATGCATCACAAGGAACTTTCTCCAGAGGCAACAGAGAGAGAAAGCCTTCCCCTGGAGCTGATGCCTTGAATTTGGACTTGTAGCCTACTGGACTGTGAGAGAGTAAACTTCTCTTTGTTAAAGCCATCCACTCATGGTATTTCTGTTGAAGCAGCACTAGACAACTAAGACACAAACATCAGAAGATAAGTTAGATAACTGGGGTCTTCTAAAAATTAAACACTTAAGCTCATCAAAAGACTTCACCAAAGGACTAAAAAGGGAACCGAGAGACTAGGAAAAACTTTTGGGACATATCAAACAAAGGTCGAATATCTAAAATCTACAGGAAAATCCAATACCTCTACAACAAGAAGACGAATACTCCAATTAAAAAAGGGCAAACGAAATGAACAGACACCTCACCAAAGAAGACATTCAAATGGCCAACAGACACATGAGGAAATGCTCTCTGTCACTAGCCATTAGAGAAATGCAAATCAAAACTATAATGAGATACCACCTCACCCCAACATTACTGGCATGGATAGAAAAAAAAAAAACCAACAGAAAATAACAAATGTTGGAGAGGTTGTGGCGAACTCTTGCACTGCTCTTGGGAACGCAAAATGTACAACCATTGTGGAAAACAATATGGCGCTTCCTTAAAAAACTAGAAATAGAAATACCGTATGATCCAGCAATCCCACTTCTAGGAATATATGCTAGATAAATAAGAGCTATCGCATGAACAGACACATGCACACCCATGTTCACCGCAGCATTATTTATAACAGCAAAAAGATGGAAACAACCTAAGTGCCCATCAACAGATGAATGAATACAAAACTACTGTAAGTATACACAATGGAATATTACACAACAATAAAGAACAATCAGGAATCTGTGAAACATGGATGAATCTGGAGGGAATTATGCTGAGTGAAATAAGTCAATCACTAAAGGACAAATACTGTATGAGATCACCACTATAAAAACTCATGAAAAGGTTTACACACAGAAAAAAACAATCTTTGATGGTTAGGAGGGAAGGGAGGGGTGGGGAGGGAAAAACACTAACCAGACAGTAGGTAAGTGGTAACTTTGGTAAAAGGTAAGACAGTATAGGGGGAAGTCAGCACAACTTGACGAAGGCAAAGTCATAGAAGCTTCACAGACACATTCAAACACTCTAAGGGACCAAGTTACTGGTCTGAGGGCTGGGGACATCTAGCTCAATTGGCATAACTTATTTATAAAGAAAATGTTTTACATCTGACTGTGGTGAGCAGTGTCTGGGGTCTTAAAAGTCTGCGAGTGGCCATCTAAGATACATCTACTGGTCCCATCCCGGCTGTAGCAAAGGAGAATGAAGAAAACCAAAGACACAAGGAAAAGATCACTCCAAAGGACCAATGGACCACAACTACCACACTTCCACCAGACTGAGCCCAGAACAACTAGATGGTGCCCGGCTACCACCACCAACTTCTCTGAAAGGGATCACAATAGAGGGTCCTGGACAGAGCTGGAGAAAAATGTAGAACAAAATTCAAATTCACAAAAAAGACCAGACTTGCCGGTCTGATAGAGACTGGAGAAACCCTGAAAGTATGGCCCCTGGACACCGTTTCAACTCAGTACTGACATCACTTCCGATGTTCACCCTTCAGCCAAAGATTAGACAGGTCTATAAGGCAAATGCTATGAGTTGGAATCAACTCGATGGCAATGGGTTTGTTTTCTGAATAGGGCAAACAATAACAAACGTGAGGAATGTGCTTTGTAGTTCAATCATGTATACAAGACTAAATAGGTACAACAGCCCAAAAGCAAAGACCATAAGGTCGGAAGGGACAGGAAAACCAGATGAATGGAAACAGCAAACCTGGGGTAGATAACGGGAAAGTGTTGACACGTGGCAACCAATGCCACAAAATAATTTGTGTATTAATTGTTTAATGAGAAACTAATTTGCTCTGTAAACTTACACTTAAAGCACAATTTAAAAAAAAAAGAAATTGGAACACTTATACATTGCTGGTGGGAATGTAAAATGGCACAGCCACTTTGTAAAACAATTTGGCAGTTCCTCAAAAGTTAAGCATAGAGTTACCATATGACCAACAATTCCATTCCTAGGTATCTACTCAAGAGAAATGAAAACATATGTCCACACAAAAACTTATCTACCTTATACATGAATGTTCATAGCATCATTATTTATAATACCCAAAAAGTAGAAACAACTCAAGGACCCATCAACAGATGAATGGATAAACAAAATGTAGTATGTCCATACAATGGAATATTATTCAGACACAAAAAGGAACGAAGTACTGGTACATGCTATAACATGAAAGAACCTGAAAAACATTTTGTAAAGTGGATGAAGCCAGATACAAATATCATTGTACACTTTACGTGGGGGAACACATGGCACATGAATTATATATCAATAAAGCTGCTAAAATTATAAATAGAGGCAAATTCTCAGACCATTTTTCATATAAGTTTAGTTTGCCTATGATACATGTGATAGGCAGTACTAATAGAACTAGAAAACCCAACTGTCATTCATAACACATTCTGGGGGCTCAGTAAATGTTTGCTAAATTTGTTAAACACAGGTTTTATTTTATAAATTATTTCCAGTATACTTTTTTTTCGGTAAACAGTTCTATGAACATAGCTATCCCATTAACGTATGTATAGATTCATGTTACCACCACCACAATCAATATACAAAACCGTTCCATCACCCAAAAAAATTCCCTTGCACTTGCCCGTTATAGTTATCTCCTCCCCCTATCTATAACCCCTGACAGCCACTGACCTGCTCTCCACCATTATCGTTTTGCTTTCTTGAGAATGTCATATAAACAGAATCTTAAAGTATATAACCTTTTGACACTGGTTTCTTTCATTCAGCATAATGCCTTTGAGATTCATCCAAGTTGCTGAGTATATTAATAGTTCATTTCTTTTTATTGCTATCTAGTATTCCATTATATGGACATAGCATAGTTTGTTTATCCATTCACCCACTGACAGACATTCGGGTTGCTTCTGATTTGGGTAATTATGAATAGGGATGCTATCGACATTTGTGTACATGTATTTGTATAAAGATAAGATTTCATTTCTTTAGAAGTGGGATTGCTGGGTCATATGATAAATATATAAAAAACTGTCAAATCATTTTCCAGAGAGGCTGTATCATTTTGCATTCCCATCAGCAATGTATGAGGGTTCCAGTTGCTCCATATTCTCACCAAGACTTGCTATTGTCAACATTTTTCATTTTAATAAGTAGCATCTCATTGTGGTTATAATTTGCATTTCCCTAATGGTTTATGATGTTGAATACCTTTTCATGTGCTTATTTACCATCCTGATGTCCTCCTGAGTGAAGGGTCAATTCAAATTCTTTTTTTTAAATATAATTTTATTTATATTGTTGTTGTTGTTGAGAATATACACAGCAAAACACACACCAATTCAACAGTTTCTATATGTACTGTTTAGTGACATTGATTACATTCTTCAAGTTGTGTAACCATTCTCACCCTCCTTTTCTGAGTTGTTCCTCACCAATTAACACAAATTCACTGCCCCCTAAGATTCCTGTCCAATATTTTGAGTTGCTTTTGTCAATTTGACCCCATAGAGATAGTTCTTAAAAGAGCATAATGCTCAAGGCAGACATTTTTTACTAGTTAAGCTAAGCTATTGTTTGGTTTTAAGAGGACTTCAGGAGATATTTCTGGTTTAAGGTTTAAAGATTATCTCAGGGCAATAGTTTCAGGGTTTCATCCAAACTCATGACTCCAGGATGTCTGGAGTCCATGAGAATTTGAAATTCTGTTCTGCATTTTCACCCTTTTGATCAAGATTCTTCTATGGAATCTTTGATCAAAATGTTCAGTAATGGTAGCTGAGCACCAACCAGTTCTGGTCTCATGGCAAAGGAGGTAGTTGTTCACAGAGGCAATTAGCCACACATTCTGCCTCCTCCTCCTATTACTGACTCTCCTTCTTCCTCTGTTATTACAGGTGAATAGGGACCACCTGTTAGGTGTTGTATGGCCACTTGCAAGCTTTTAACATACTACACATCGAACTAGGTGGTAGAACAGAGGCACTAAACATGTTAAGCCAATTATCTGTTTAAATTCCTTATCCATTTTTTAACTGGGTTGTTTGTTTTCTTATTGTTGAATTTTGAGAGCTCTTTATATTCTGGTTACAAATCCTTTGCTGGATATATGTTCTGCAAATTTTTTTCCTAGTTTGTAGCTTTTCTTTTCTTTCCCCTAACTATCTTTAAATGAGCAAAAGTTTTTAATTTTGATGGAGTCCCATTTATTAAATTTTTCTTTTATGGATCATGCCTTTCATATCATATCTAAGAACTCTCTGCCTAACCTCAGGTCACAAAGAATTTTCTCCTGTTTTCTTCTAAATTTTTAAATAGTTTTATGTTTTACATTTAGATCTATGATTCATTTTTAGTTAAGTCAGGTTTTAGGTTGAGGTTAATTTTTTTTCATATGGATGAAAATCAAATGGCCATATTTGTGTGGGTCTATTTCTGGACTCTATCTGGTTTTTTGATCTACATGTCTGCCATTTAGCCCATCAGGTTTGATTTTAAACAGTGTAAGACTATAATTTATTATACCCATGTTGCACAAATAAAAGTAACAGTCACTGGGAAGATATTTAATTACCTCTTCATAATATCCTGCTGCCATTTCAAAATTCTCGTTGACTTCCGCTTCAAATGCAAACAGTCGGAGCTGTTCACTGCTTGTATAAATGGTTGAAACAGCACCTTGGATATCATCTGGCATGACCTTATCAACGTCAGAGATGTTAGGCAGACAAAATGAAGCAATTCAAGCAGAGAGTCTTTATAAGAATAGACTGCATATGAGACTAGTCATGGGGTCTAATACTATATTGAGGTCTCCTACAGTCTTGCCAATAGAGAAAGAGAGTGTGAGTGAACCAAGAGAGAAATACCAAGGGTGAAAGAGAATACCAACAGTCTGAGCTCATGAAAGTGAATAAAAAATTGCTTATGGATGAAACTGCTCTCCTCAACCAAGTCCTTAGGCAGGTCACTTCTGACCTCAAAAAGCTTCCTTCAACTAAACGGGCAGCTTCCATCTGGAGGTGAGATGAGAAGGCAGAGAGGATTAGGAGCTGGTTGAACAGACATGGAAAATCAGAGGTGGAAAGGAGAAGTGTGCTGTCACAGTATAGGGAGAGCAATTAGGGTCACACAACAATGTATGTAAAAATTTTTGTATAAGAGACTAACTTGAAATGTAAACTTTCACTTAAACTATAACAATAAACACAACAAAAAAAGCTTCCTTCACTGTCTTTAGTGAATACAACAAAAATATATTTTTCTAGGTGCCACAGCATGAAAAAGGTTGGCAAGCACTTGCTAGGGTCTTCAAACATCAAGAAACAGGAAACTAAGGGTAAAGTTTTGGAAGACAGCTATACACTCTGAGTGGGATACAGACTGACAGACCTTACAAAGGAGGCATTTTAGAAATAGCTAGAAAGGTGGGAGGAAAATCAGAAAAAAACTATATCCTATCCACCCAGATGGGAAAGCAGGTCTAGTGTCATTCGTAATCTCCTGGGTCAGAAGCTATGGCCAAGGGAGACCTCCCCTCAAAATCCTTTAATTAGAAGTAAAATTAGTATCAGTGACTTTAACAAGTACAGTTGCTAAGGAATGTGGAAAGTAAAGCCAAATTTGAGACGGGCCAAAGAAAGCTTCTGATGATTGATGAATGCCTCTGTTTTTTGTTCTTGTAGTTTCAATGACCTTGATCTCCAAATCCCTTCAGGAATACATTTCTATGCCCAAACGAGAAATACTATACCTTCAATCCTACTACCAGAACCCAAATTCCAAGCCTTAGCCTTTTTTGCCCCTTGTTGCTAGTTGCTGTCAAATTGGCTCCAACTCATGACAACCTTATGTATAACAGAATGAAAAATTGCCCAGTCCTGTGCTACCTTCATGATCATTGGTACCGTAAAACTGCTGACTTCACTGAAACTTTCACTTCCAACAGGCCCATCACTTACTAAACTGATCATGCTGGACCTCATGATTACCCCCACATACTACTTTCACCTAGCACACTCAAATCCCAGGTGTTCTTGTCCTTCTCATGCACCTGAGAACCCCTAAGTTAAAACAATCCTACAATCTGACTTCTTCCAGGAAGGCCAAATAAGGTGAAAGAAGAGATACTGGTGGCAGAGAAGAAAAACATCAGTGAAAGAAAAAGCAAACAGAATAGAGGCTTTAAGGAGGCACAGCTGATTAGAGACTACCAGGGGGACAAAAAGAGAGACTTTGATTTGTCATTGTATTCAAACGAACCACAAGTACATAAAAAATGAGTGAATGATGGCAAATGCAAGCTGTGCAAGTATAAACATAAGTGGTAGGACAGCAGAACACCAGTCATATTTTTTTAAAAAGCACACGTAAGTATCATTCTCAGTTAGGTATCATATCTGAAAACTCAGTTTTTCCTTGTTCTTACTGTCTGTGTTGAAGAAAACAGTAAGAATTGCACAGGTCCACAGAAGAAAGAGAATGATAATTTTTGTTTCTCAATTTACACAGCTGATTGTACCTATTTTTGACAATATCATCACATTTTTGACAGTTATGAAATGTATTTTTCTAGGAAGATGAAGAAGCATGCCCTCTTGTTTTCTCCAAAATTACCCTTGTCATTTAGACAGTATTTTATTCATCTTTGTGTTTTCAGTGCCTACCACAGAGCAGACGTCTCAATAAATGTTTGTTGAATGAAGAAATAAAAGAAGCAAGCAAGGAAGGAAGGAATCATCCAGAGGAGACCCTGACGCTTTATGGATAAAAGGAAGGGCTCTTAGTTCTCAGGCACCTACCTGGTTTAGGGCCACATGCATCTGATCCACCAAGAACACATACAGCTCGCTGATAAACGTCTGCAGCTCCTCCTGGCTTTCAAATGACGTTGTCTTCAAGTACTTCTCTCTCACAATCTTTACCACAGCATGCTGCAAGAGACACGGATCACCCATGTGATAATATAGTCTAGCACTATGCTAACAGCACAGTATGACTTGGACTTGGGCTTCTGATGTAAGGCTCATTGAAAATTCAGAAGGTGACTGATTTCTGCCTTTGTGACTGTTAGACTGTTGGCTCTCTGATTTTCTCCCAGTCAGCTTACTCTTTCTAACTTATTTCCTCGACTTCACCATTGTCACTAATAGGGACAATGTGGGATCCATATGGTGTGAAGAGAATCATAAATACAAAGAAAAACTTAGCATTTGTTGGTGTTGTTATGTGCCATTGAGTCAGTTTCAAATCATAGTGTCATGGATTGAACTGTGTACCCCAAAAAACGTGTGTAGCAACTTGGCTAGGTCATGATTCCCGGTACTGTATGATTGTGCAATCTGATGTGATTTCCTTATGTGTTGTAAACTCTACACTATGATGAGGTTATATGTGATCTCCTTATGTGCTGTACATTCTATCACTGTGATAAGGTTATGCTGATGAGGTTTACAAGATTAGATAGTGTCTTAATCCAATCTCTGTTGAGATATGAAGGAGAGAAGCGAGAAGACACATGGGAACCTCATACCACCAAAAAAGCAGGGCCGGGAGCAGAACGCATCCTTTGGACCTGAGGTTCCTGCGCAGAGAAGCTCCCAGACCAAAGGAAGATTGATGACACAGACCTTCCTCCAGAGCCGACGGAGAAAGCGATCCCCCTGGATCTGACGCCCTGAATTTGGACTTGTAGCCTACTGGACTGTGAGAGAATAAACTTCTCTTTGCTAAATCCATCCACTTGTGGTATTTCTGTTAGAACAGCACTAGATGACGAAAACACAGAGCGACTCTATGTACAGCACAACAAAACACTGCCTGGTCCTGTGCCAACCTCACAATGGTTGCTAAGCTTGAGGCCATCATTGCAGCCACTGTGTCAATCCATCTCGTTGAAAGTTTTCCTCTCTTTCGCTGACCCTCTACTTTACCAAGTATGATATTCTTCTCCAGGGACTGGTCCCTTCTGATAACGTGTCCCAACTATGTGAGACAAAGTCTCGCCATTCTTGCTTCTAATGAGCATTCTGGCTATACTTCTTCCAAGACAGATTTGTTCGTTCTTTTGGCAACTTGAACTTGCATAGCAGCAATTGATGGTCTGTTCTGCAGTCGGCCCCTGGCCTTGTTCTGACTGATAATATTGAGCTTTTCCATCATCTCT